ACGGTTCTCAAACACAAACCTAAGGAAATTTCTGATCATTTGTACAGAATAAATAAATACTTAGTATTGTACAAATCCCTGCTCTCAAGGAGCTCACATTCTAATAAGGGAAACAAGATATGCTAAAAGTATCTTCTGCAAGTTAGATGGAAGGGTGAGGTGCCAAAGCAGATGGAATGTCTCTTGTTTAGTGTCATTTTTACTGATCAAGGCATAGAATGAATGCATATGCTTCAGTTTTCCATTATATACTCTGACACTGAACTTGTGTGACATTGATGAAGGCATAAATTTCTCTGGGCATGTCAAACATTCCTCCCTGCTCTAACTTAAAATATGTGTATATATACATATATATATATATATGTTCTATGCAGTTTTCTGTCAGTGCAAATAAAAATACTACAAGACCAGTATTTCCTTGAAAATCCAGAAGTTAAAATGGATTAACAAAGTGCACTAAAATTGTGGGGCATATTTTTCATTTATTCAGTCATCTATTCATTTAATGTGCATTTATTTTAAAAATTCAGTTTAATTTTATTTTCAATTCTGAATTCTCTCACCTACAATATCCTCCCTTCCCCCAAATTGATAAAGCCAAAAAAATGAAGCCTGTTATGAACATGTACGGTCAAGCAAAACAAATTCCTATATTAGCCATGTGCCCCCCCCCCCAAAAAAAGGCTTCCTTCCATTTGTATTATGAATGCATCAGCTCTCTGTCTGGGGACAGAAAGCTTACTTCATCATGACTCCCCAGAAACTGTACGTTCAGCCTACGTTAAAATCCCTACTATGTAAAGGTGGTTTACCTTGAGAGCTGCTTAATGGGCTAAAAAAATTATGATCATAGCTGTGTATCCCAGAGTGGATCTGCAAGTACAGCAGGACTCATTCAACTGAATGATCTTGATACGTTTAATCTGTCACCACAAATCTATCTACCAGGCTCAGTGAACTGTGGGCAACCTCGAAGGGCGAGCCTCTGCTGCTCAGAGGATCACAGAGTTCTGACTTAGAAGGATGTCAGAAATGACCTAATCCAATTCCCTCATTCTTTGGGTAAGAAACAGAACCTTGAAAAGATTAGGTAACTTGTCTGAGGTCACACAGCTTGTAAATGATGCAGCCTGGACACAGGTCTTCTGACTCCTGAGGAAAAGGCTTCTCAACCTCAACCTCAACAATGACAACAACCAACACTACTACATTTTTAGCACCAGCTGTTTCTACTCACTGAAAATTGTCGAGAGGATAAAGAGAATACTTGTATAATCTGGTGGGCTTCATGTACTCAGCATCACAATAGAATAATGAGCGGTTAGAGACAATTAAAAGGCCACTGATAAACTGGTTACACTTCTGCACAGACCACCTCTAAGCTTTCTAGATCAGGCTGGTAGGTGGAGGTGTTTTCTTTGTGCACAGGCAGTGCTCATACCACCTTGAAAACTGCCAGCTTGGAAGAGTCGCAGCCTAGCCCTGCTTCAGGAGGCGTTACCATTTGGTTTTTATCTAGTGCATTTCTGAATCTGGCCATATGCCTTGACATGCACGTGCACTCTTCCGTTCAAAAGAGACTGTCATGTGACTGGTGCCTATTCCTTAGCTGGCTATCACAGGAACTGGCCCCCTCTGATGTTCTGTTAACCTATGTGAAAGCTAAAAGACTTTATTTAGAAACTATTCAGAGAATCTAGAGAAAGAAGGATGTTCTCTGGCACTGGGTAGGTGGAATCTGTTCCCAGGTAGTGAGGTTTGCTGCTAGGCTTAGGAAGTACTTACACATCCAGTAATAAATCAGTAAACGTACAAGTGCTAAGGTTGGCTGAGAGGGAAGTATTTTAGTTTGCTTCAATTTGAAGGCACAAAGGTGGAAGTAAACAAGATGTAGGATGGTGTAAAGCACAGGTGTCAAATTTGCCACCTGCAAAACTCCACAGTGTTGTCCGAACCAGATTAAAATGTGATTGGGATATGTTTAATGAAATAAAAATACAATATAACATAGTGGTTTTCTAAATCAATGGTTTCTAATTAAGTTTGATATCACTGGTGCAAAGAACTTGGGATATGGGAAGCTTGAGCGTGAATCCTGAGCCTGGCATTTGCCTCTTACGTTGTGAGTCAGGTAACCTTGCGGTCTCACTTTCCTCACATGTAAAACAATGGGGTTAGACTAGACTATTTCTAAGGATTAGGAAACTTGAAAAGAATTCATCTTTCCAGCTTTACTACTTCTGTTGAGGGGAACTATAATTCTCCCAGTCACCCAAGTTTACCACCCAAGAGTCATCCTGGATTTTTCACTCTCCCTGACTCGCCATAGTCAACTGCCTGCCAACTCTCACAGATCCTATTTCCGCCACGCGTCTTGCATCTGCTTCCTTTTCTCCACTGCCATATCCACCACTCAGTTGGGGTCTTCATCACTTCCTGGCTGAACTACTGCAACTGTCTCCTAATAGGTCTGTTTCCAGTCTCCCCTCTCTAATCCTCCCTCTGCTTAGCTATCAAAATAATCTTTATGAAGAAAATGCCTGACCATGTCACTCCCACATAAAACAATCTCCAGTGTCTTTCTATTGCCATTAGCATAAAATACAAAATTTTCACCCTACTATTTAAAGGTTAGCTGGAGCCCACCTTTCCAGACTTATCTCATGACTCCGCTTAATGTACTCTACATTTCTCCAGCCCAAACTGCATGTCATCTACCACTGCCATGCCTCTGTATAGTTTGTCCCTGAAGCCTGGAACACACTCCCTCATCTCCACTTCTCAGTATTTTAAATTTCCTCCCATGCTCAGCTCCTTCTCCTATAAGAAGCCTTTCCTGATCTCCTCAGTTGTATTTTCTCCCTTCTCATTTTGTTTATGTGTATGTATACCCTAGTAGAACATCCATTAGGATAAGGAGTATTTTTTGTTTTTGCTTCTTCAGCGTTTAGCTAACCCTAAATGGATGCCTGGCATATAGAATGAACATCATTAACATTTATTGAATTCAATTCACTTCCTTCCATTTCTAATCAACTATGAATACAGATGCTGGCCTAAAATGTATACTGCTTCTGTAAACAGCATCATGGAGTAGAAAGAAATGTCACCTGGGAATCTGAAAGCTGAGATTTGAAGTTCTGGCTTTGGTAACTTGCTATGTGACCTTAGGCAACTCATTTCACCTTAAACTTCAATTTTCTGGTTTGAAATATGAAGGGGTGAGACTAGATGATGCCCCCCCCCAAAGTGTTTTCTAGATCTAATGTTTTATAAATGAGATGTGACAATAAAGTGATGAGACGTTTTCACATGTGGTTTATGTAAAAAGTTTCATTTTTTGAGGGAGTCTGGCATGCTTTTTTACCCAAGGCTCCATAATCTGCCTTGTAATACAGATAAACATAAAGTTCCATTTTAGCGTTCTATTTTGCAATCATTCTATTTTGATCAGAATTGTGGATTCAATTATGGGTTTATAGTTACAGATTAGGGAACTATTAATCCTAAATATTAATGCTATTATCCTTAAATTTTACAGTTTTATTTGGAGTGATGAAATAAATACTTAATAAAGTGTCTAAGCCCACCTACTCAGCTCTATTGATCATTAAAAAGTCTTTAAAAATCTACATTTGCAAAATTTATAGCAAGAGTACTTAGGAAATTTTTTTTTAACTATTAAAAGCCCTTTTTCTGTACTCTCGTGGTAAAGTTGATAAAAATGGCAAATGGAAATCTTCGATGAGGTTTTAAAATGAATACAAAATTCATCACTATCTACTCAGCTATCTCCTGGGTACCACTCAAATGAATGCAGGCGGCACATTCTCTGTAACTTAGTGTTCAGGAGTTTCTGTGGCTGAAAAACTTCCCCAGCTGGTGATCGCCTTCTGGCAATAAGGCACTACAACCCTTGCTGGCTCATCCTTGATTGAGAGATAGCTTCTAAGGACCCACCAGAGCTCGCCCTCTGCTTGTCCAGCAATTAAGAATACCCTGACTGACCTCTCCATCACCATGCATCAGGAGGAACTGGGGTACCACTTATTGTGGGTGAAAGAATTTTTTAAAAGTAAGTCTTGAAATATAAGTGAATTATTTTCTTAAAGGTAAGATAAATATTATAATTCCATATATGTTGCAGTATGTTGAGATTTCAATAGCTGCATGAAATAAATGAATGAGAAGGGGGAGGAGAATTTTGTGCCTGTAATTCAGACTAACAATTTTGAAAAAATCAAATTTGCAAATCATCAATGGGAAGCATATACTGGGCCCCATACCATATGGTGTCCTTATTTATTGATTACATAAATTATAATTTGATCTACTTCACACATTCATGAGTTGTCATCAAATTCCTTGTAACAGTCCCTGTAAAGTATGGTGGGGCCCTTTGGTTCTAAACACTGAGTAAAATTTACTTAAGCTATGTCCAAGTTTGTAACTTAAGTTGTACTACATTTGGCAACATGAAAAAAACACATAATTAAAAAGATGTCCATTAAAAGAGAGAGATCATGTCTGCCAGGAAGTTTCTACTAAGTCATTGAAGGGTCTATGATGATAAATGGAAGAGGCAGAACAGGCAGGGGCTGAAAAAATTTTATAATGGTAACTTCTGCTGATATTCTAATATGTTATGCCATTTAAAAAACCTAGACTGTTTCAGCTCCCAAATTTTCTTAGGTTAAACTGAACGATGTGGTGTAAACAAAGAACATAATTTTGTTAGTACACAGCTGTGGCTGAGAACTTTAGCGTTCAGAAGTTAAGAAATTTAAAGATACAATTCCAGGAATTAAATATATGTCTTGTAACCATTCAATCTTAAAGACTCAGCTCATCTCTCTCAGTGTATTCAGATCCTGCGTTCTGTGGCAACTCTACATAATTAAGGACAAAAAATACAAACGAGAAAAATCATTCATTTGGGTAATTTGAGTAATGTCTGGAATAATACTTTGAGTTGAGATATTTGAAAAAGGCAGAAGTAGTCTCTAAATTTTATTTTACCATTTTTATTATTTAGTATACTCCCCCCAATACAATCCATGGGTTTATTTAGTTTATCTGAGCAATAAACAGATTACTTCATTTATCTGATAAGCTCAAGCATACAGAACACAGGTAAGAAACAAGGTGTGAGCAAACTAAAGATCTGCTTAGCCAGAACGGATAACCCAGAATTGTCCATGCACTAATGATGCTCATGCAATGAACTCGTAGGTGAGTCCCTCAAAGCTCACCCCCTGAGCCTATTTATTTATTTACTCTTCCTACTCAGACCAAGTGTTTGTCTCATTTCCTAGCCCACAAAAGCTTAAGAGAATATCAGCAGTGGAGGTGAGGGGGTACTGCTGGAAGTATGCATATTGATAGCAAGAAGTGAGTGCTACCACTGTGCTGACAAAGCCTCATCCTCACCGACGACACTGGTGTGAGGTAGGCAGGCCAGGCCCCATCATTCCCATCTCACAGAAAGGGAAAGGAAATGAGGCTCAGAGGCCCAGTGACTTGCCTCCTGAAGTGGGAGAGCTGGGACCCAAACCTAGGTCTTCCGACTCCCAGTCTAGTGCTGTTTCCACTATACCACACGACAATCCACTATACCACACAATGACTCAAAATTCATAGCAGTCTGTGGCCACCTGAAGTCACAATTGTATTTCAGCTCTGTAAAATAGCTCACGCTTATAATGACAACTTAGAAGCTAAATGATGTCAACTATACTCTGTTTAAGAAAGCAAGGAAATATGTCATACATTTTCGAAACCTAAGTGAAAATGGTTATGATTTTTGTGAAATTCTGGTATTTAAATGGCTACATTTTGGTTATCCGAAAAAGCCTCTTAAGTGAATGAAACCCCCTTGTTCTGTAAACATGCTGCACAAGTGAGGCATTTTTACCATATATCAAAATAACTACAAAACGTGATACAAATGTATGAGATAACACACTTCCTCCTAACACGAATTGGCTGAATTTACTGTTCGCCAATCCCTTTATTTTCTAGGTCGTATTCTAAAATTCCTTTTTCCCTAATACTTGAAGATGCTATGAACTCTTGAACTTTGCCCTTTAGAAAATGTAGTTCATTCTGCATTTTCAGCATGCTGTTATCATACTGCATTCCTTCAAGGGCTTTCTGCATATCCATAATATCTGACACTGCTTTCAGCATATCATCTTCCATATTAAACATCTTCATGGTTAAATCTTCCATTTTCTTCTCTGTCCCTATCAGATCTTGGGAGACCTTCAGAACCGAGTGAACAGCACTTTCAAGTGCTGGTAAATGGGTCTTGCATTCTTCCACTTTAGGCTCATAGTCAGTAAGCTTGTTGCTCAGATCTATTTCTCTAGCAAAAAGACCTCTCTGTTCCTCTTCTAACTTTTCAACGGCTTTTGTATCGGATACCAGCTGCTCTTCCACTTGTGAAAGGTCGTCTTCTTCTTGCCTCTTGATGGCTCTAATATTCCTCATAGTGCTGTCTTCCAAATCTTTGAGCCTTTCAGTGAGCAACTTTATGCCTTGCTCAGCCAAATTAATTTGGCCAGTGACATGAGAATGCATACGTTTGGCTTCGGATTTTAAACCGCCAGTATGAGCATTCATGTCATCTAGGTTTCTTTTCCAGGAATCTGTAACATTCTTAAATTTCACGTTAACATTCTGCATCCTGTGCATGAGCATCTGCTCACTGTTCTTAATGTCATGGATGATGTTATGGAGACTGGACACTTCCTGCTCAAAATTGGGTCATCAAAGACATGGCTGATGTAGTTTCCTGCAGGACACTTTCAGTAGACTCAAGCTGCATTTGTAACACAAAACAATTCCCAGGTCTACTTAATAGCAATTAATGGTGAAGAAACACACACATTAACAATCAGGAACATAAGAGATGTGCAAAGTTCAAGTTTTGAAGATACTCTAAAATATATAAGCACATCAGTATCAGAACATTACCCACAAAGGGTTCAATTTACTACTTGTTTCACTTTATGAATTTTGTCAGAATTATCAGATCATACTCCAAGTTAAAAAAATATATATGCTTGTAGCTTTCTCGAGGTCTTGGAGACTTGTATCTTAGTAAATAATATTAAAAGCAAGAAGAATTTCATTTTAATTCCTTTTTATCTTTTTTTTTGGGGGGTACAAAAGTGATCTAGATAAGTTGTATATTTTACTTGGCTGCCACTAACTTACAAAAAGCATTTGGATAAGAAATTTTTTTTTCATAAAAACATTTTTCTTTGTGGGTTTTCAAACCTCTTAAAGAGAAATTACCTGAAAGTTACATTTTGCAGAAATGACAAACAAGTGCAAAAATGGAAAAGAAAGTTAGTGAGACTGAAAGCCCCTACAATTTTTGGTCTAGATGTGTGATTTTGTTGGTGTAGGGACAGCTGCAAACTGTCCCTTGCAGTTGCCTGGGGGCAGGAAGAACTTAAATGACCTGCCCAGGATTAGGCAGCCAGTATGTGCAGGCTTTCCGAGTCTGAGTCTGGCTCCTAATTGACTATGCTGACATGATGCGATCTCTCAGACTCTGTAACACTTACCTAATAACAAGGTATTTTTATATTTTATATTCTGACATGCCTCTGGGAACACAGGTAAACCTCCACATAGACTGATAATTTGTAGTACCTACAATTTATAGGTCAAAGAGGTGCCTTTTATTAACAAGGCTAACCTTGGGGACACACAGAATTAATTTCTCATAGAAAAGAGATGGTATTGGGGGCCACCAGTCCTGTGCTAACCCAGATGTAGCTAATGGAGCCTGGAGTGGATCATGACCACTCTCCTGATGTCTCCAACCGCTGAAGGACACCCTTTGGTCAAAGGTCTGGTGTATGTCATCACTTTACAGTTTCTCTCATAAAGGTCACTCACTTTCAGGGCTTGGAATATCACCTCTACAGATAACTCCCAAATCTTCAAGTTCTCTCCTCAGAATCTCTAATTGGAAGCTGAAAAGCTCTGTGTTCTGCCATCATCTCAAACCTAACATGCTGAAAACCAAAGTTACTGTCTTTACACTCAGGTGGGTCCCTCGATACCATAGAGCAAGCCTTTCACCACAAAAGCTGTTTCAAATATTATGCACACTCCTTCTTCCCTCCTAAACCTTCTCAGTCTCAGATGCTACATCCTACTTTAATGATAATGAGGCCATCTGACCAGAATTTTTTTGTCCACAACAATTATCTGCAGTGTCCAACATTTTTTCCCCTACTTTCATTTTTGTATCAGAGGAAACAGTATCCCTCCTTCCAAGGGCAAACCTGTCTACAGATGGCCTTCATCCCAATCCCTTCTCCCTTTCTTGCAAGTTGTTCCTTATCTGAGACCCTCTTTTTTGCACCTTCAACCTCTCTCTCTCTCTCTCTCCTAGCTTTTTTGCTTCAGGCTCCACATATTAAATCTCTCTTTTCCTGAAAAAGAAAAAAAAAAGAAACCTTCTTTACCCTTAAGCTGTCCCTTCTGGAGATACTGCCCCATTTCTCCTTTTATAGGCATTTTTTTTTTTTGGTGAGGCAATCAGGGTTAAGTGACTTGACTAAGGTTATACAGCTAGTGTCAAGTGTCTGAGGCCAGATTTGAACTCAGATCCTTCTGACTCCAGGCCCAATGCTCTATCTGTTGCACCATCTAGCTGCCCCTCCTGGCATTCTTCTTGAATGAGTACATTACACTCAATGCCTCCACTTTATAACTTTCCTGCTCCTCAATCTCTGGCAATCTGGCTTCCATATTTTACATAAAAGATTTTCTTGAGGGTCCATCAATGAATTCCCCATTGCCCAATCCAATGGTCTTTTCTGTTTCCATTCTCTTCTGTCTCTCTGTAGCATTTGGCATTACTGATTCCCTCCCTGCCTTTCTTGAAACTGTCCTCTCTCAGGGTTCTGTGGCCCTGCACTGTTCTGGTTTTCCTATGAATTTTCTGCCCGTCCCTTTTTGCACCTCCCTGGCTCTTTTTCCTCCCCTTAATCCCTAATTTTACGTATTCTCCAATGTTTTGCCTTAAGCCTTTTCTTCTTTCACCATCTCCCTTCTCTAAAGAGTTTATCTATTCTCATGGCTTCAACTAACACCTTGGTGTGGATAACCCCCAAATCTAGATCTCCAGTTCCCATTTCCCCCATGCTCCAGCCCCTCATTTCCAACTTCCTGTTGGTTAGTTTTACCTGAATGTCCCTTCAGAACCTGAAATTCAACACACCTAAAACTCAACTCATCATCCTTTCTTGCTTCCCTTCTCCCACAAGGGTCTAATAGCTTGTTGCATTTTTTTTGAGTCCCATACTGTAATGAAAAATAAGACATTTATGAAAAACCCTTCAGGTTTGCATTTGGATAAAATACCTTCATATTTCTTAAGCACTGTGATCTTTACCAAACTTTCCTATGTTGAAATCATTACCTTTTCAGAAATTAAATCGACTTGACTTTGAAGGCTATGGAACTCTGTGGCTTCCAATTTCAGTAGCTGGTATTTATTTTCTACATTATCAAACTTTTCTGACTGATGAAATACAAACCTGTAAAAGATAAGCAAACAATAATAACAGGACTTTACATTATATATTTCAAGTGGGTACTATTTTGCATCAAGATTGTAAAACACATTCCAAATCCACAAGATCACACATTTAATCGCAGGCATTAACTTTTTACTCCTTTTTACTGCTGAGGAAACTAAGGGCCAGAGGGCTTTGAACTGACTTGTCCAAGGTCTCAGAAGCTGCAGTATGCAGCTGAGGTGAGATTTGAATTCTGTTCCTCTGACTTTTTAGCTAGGGCTCTTTCCACAGCACCATGCTAACTCTCAGATTTAGAAGAAAATCACTATTATATAAAGCTACAAAGGAATCTTATCAGACAGCATAATTATTAAATAAAAAATTCCCACAACTGATAACTGAACATTATTTTAAAGGACATGCCCACTTTTGAGATGAACAAATATATTTTAAGATTGAGTAGTTAAAATTGATCATAAAACTTATAATTTTTTAACTATGAAAATTATTCAATTCAATTAAACTAAACAAACATCTAGTTCCTACTCGTACATAGCGCTGTACTAAACACTCAGGTAGATACACAGTTTAGATAAGAAATTGCTTTACTGAATTTATGGTCTAGGAAGCAGGTATGGTACACACACAAACAGCTGCGTGAGAAACAGGCTACACATTCAAGCAAAGTGCCAGGTGACAGGAAGCCAAAGGGAGGGATATTGTTGGCTGTTTGGGGAGGCTGGAAGGTAGCAGCTGCAGGCTCGGCAGGTTTCAGTAGCCAGAGATGAATTCAGAGTCCAAGAACCTGAGTTCAAATTCTGATGGTGCCTTTGGGCAAGTCCTTTAAGCTCCTTGGGCCTCAATTTCCTCCTCTGTACAGTGAGGAGCTGGACCCTTCCACCTCTAACCCTGTGTTAGCCTTTAGAGAATGTATACAGGGAAGAAGAGGAAGGGCTGGATGTTTTTGGCCTGGGGAAGACACGGAAGGAGGTAAATAAAAAGCATGTCCAGGACAGCTGAGCAGTTTAACTGCCTGCAATGCAGGGTATGCAGAAGAGTGGGAGGTGAGATAAGGCAAGAGAAGGCAGGAAGAGCCAAACCATGAAGGGTCTGAATGCTGGGAAAGGGAACAGGAAGCCATTTGCGGGTTCTGAGCAGAGAAAGAATGGCATCATTGAACAGGGAGGCTATATCTGGCAGGAGGGTGAGGGATGGTTTGGAGACAATTTGAAGCCATATAATAGTAAAGAGAGTTTGTATTAGTGGAGGCCATGGGAATGTAGGAAAGGGAACAAATGTGAGAGATGTTGGGGAGATAAAATTAATAGGGCATTATTGATCTCCATGAGTGTTTTCCTGAAGACTTAAATTCAGTGATATATGAAACAAGAGTCTCCAAATGATTTCTATAAAATCTGATTACCCTGCTTAGACTGTGTAAACTTTTTCAAGCTAAAATCCTATTAATGTCTTCCTTAGGCTTATCATTTCCTGACTTTTCTTTTCTCACTTACCCAAGTCAGCATACCAAATATGCAGTGAAAATATATGACAGAAGGCTAAGAGATATTATATGTGTATACGTCTGTGTGTGTTTGGAGGCAAAAGGCAAGAAAGGACCAATAAGGATCTGCCAATCTAAAGGTCAGAGGTTGGACAGCACTCATTCTAGCTAGCAAAGAGGGCACAATCTTGTATTGAAATGATGAAATATCTAGATACAGTGAACCCTCAACTATTTGGCTACGAGGTTTTTAGGCCTCTTGGGCTTTTGGAGTAGCTGGGTTTGAGGGGAGCTGGGACAGGAGCACTGATAGATGCAAAGCAGTCTTACATAATCTATCAACAATCAACTCAACAAATATATACCACATGCCTAGGATGTGCCAGGTGTTGGAACAAAGCTTAATTTTAATGGATTTTTTTTTGTCTTTACATCATTCTTTCTTTCTTTTTTTGGAAGGGGATGGGGGAGGTGAGGTCTTCCTTTCTCATCCAAACTGGAAGTGCAAGGGCCACTCGTGGGCCTGATTCTAATACTGTTTCTGACCTAGACTGGTTCACCCTTTCTCAAGCAACCCTGATGGCCTCCACTGCTCACCAGATTGATTCTAGACTTGGTGCAGACGCCAGATCGGCCTAGTCTACTGCAGCTCTGAAAACCTCAGCTTCCTCCAGAAACGGATCCGGGCTCAAACTACCACATCAGGCCCATGCTTCATATGTAATGTGTCCCTTCCCACACACTCGGTGAACCATTTCTTGTAATAAAGAAGAAAAAGAAAATAATCAGGTCAGCATCAACCAAATTTGATATGATGCCTAATACCCCATACCTATTGTCTCTCACCTCTGTAGAAAAGGGAAGCAGGTACATTTTCTCAACTCTTCTCTAGGGCTTTAAACAAAGCCAAGGAGGCAAAGACCAGAAAATTACATTTAACATCTTGTGACTGGTTTGCCGTAAAGGATGAAAGGAGTATTCTGGATGTGGATAATGTGCATACAAAGTCAAACTACTTGTGTGAAAGTTCAGAATTAACAGGAGATAGAAGAAATGAGAGAAAAAGACCACAAAACAGGAGGGCTCATGACAGAGATCCAGTATAGAACAGATCTGAATTAGTGGGGGAGAGGGAGGAGAGGGAATCATCTCCATCACTTAACTGAAACTGCTCTCTCCAAAGCTTTCAATAATCTCTTCGTTGCTAAATCTGATGGTCTTTTCTCACTCCTCATGCTTCTCAAATTATCTATTGCATTTGAGACAAATGACCAACCTCTCTTCTTAGATACACTCTCTGATTTGGGTTTTCAGGACATTCCTTTCTTCTGTTTCTCCTCTGATGGACTCATTCCTTAGACTCTTTTGCTCATTCACTATTTATATCCCATCCCCTAACTGTGGGTATTCCCCAAGAGCTCTCTGTCCTAGAACCTTTCCCCTTCTCTCTCTACACACCAGTGATCTCACTAGCTCCAACAGGTTTAATTATATTGATGCAAATGACTTCAGAGGTACATATTCAGCACCTGCTGCTTAGTGGACACTTCAAACTGGATGTTCTGGAGATACAATGAATGCAGTAATGTCTAAAACTGGACTCATAATTCCTTCCCCCAAATCCACCCCTCTTCCAGACCTGCCTATTTTTGTTGAAGGCACCCCATTCTTTTTTTTCTTTTTTTTTTATTAATTTATTTATTTTTAGTCTTCCACATTCACTTCCACAAGATTTTGACTCCCAGATTTTCTCCCCATCTCGTCCCCCCCCCAATCCCAAGATGGCATGCATTCTGCATCCCCCTTCCTCTAATCTGCCCTCCCTTCTATCTCTGTCCCCTGTCTTATTTCCCAGGACTTTGGTTCCACATTTTCTCCCTCCCTCCTTCCTCACCCACCCTCATTGAGAAGGCAAGCAACTCCACACAGGTTATACATGTACAGTCATACAAAACACTTCCACAGTAGTCACTCTATTTCCCTTCATCCTATCCCATCCCCCGTTTATTCTATTCTCTCTTTTGACCCAGGCCCTCCTCAGAAGTGTTTGCTTCAGATCACCCCCCTCCCCCAATCTGCCCGCCCTTCTATCATCTCCCTGCTCTCTTGTCCCCTTCCCCCCATTTTCCTGTAGGGTAAGATAGATTTCCATACCCAATTGAGTGTGTATGGTATTCTCTCCTTAAGCCAAATCCAATGAGTATAAGACTCACTCATTCCCTCTCACCTTCCCCGTTTCTCCTCCACTGTAAAAGCCTCTTCTTGACTGTTTTATGAAAGGCACTCATTCTTGCAGCCTTCAGGTTCCTAACCTTGGTGTTATCCTCTATTCTTCACTCTCCCCTCATCCCACAGTCAGCTGCTGAGAGTTGCCATTTCTATCCTCACAACATCTCTCATCCCAACTTTTTGTCCCTCCTCCCACAGCTACCCCCTTTTGCTGAGATTACTGCAGCGGCCTCCTAACTGGTCTCCCAGCCTCAATTCTCTCCCCAAGCCAGTCCTTCCTCCATGCAGCTGCTAAAGTGATTGTCCTTAAACACTCAGTCAACATCGCGCTCTCTCTTGCCCTTAGGTGCAACTATAGGTTCCTCTGCTAAGTTTTTAAAATCCTTCACAACCTGGCCTCGAGGTATCTTTCCACCTTCATAATGTACTCATGACCTCCCATACTTTGTGCTCTGGCCAAAGCGCCCTTCAGTTCTTCATCTAAAGCTTGCTGTCTCCTGCTCGGCGCCTCCCTCCCTCCATGCATACTCCTTTCCCCTCTCCTCTCTTCTTTCATTCTTTATCCTCTGTTTCAAAGAGGCCAATGGCATCATGATGGGTGATGTCTTGACTTGTGCATTAACTGGACCTCAGTGAGACAGAGCTGTGCAAAGTCATCAGGCTCACTCTTTCTCCCAGAGTCACCGAAGTCCAGCGGCAAGATAAAAGTCACGATGATGCTGGCCAGGGATGCAGTAGAGGGACTTTGGGGCTTTTGATGTCTGACCAAGCTGTAACGCTCCCTAGTGCCCATTCTACTGGGGGCAGTCTTTACCTGTCTGGAGGAGGCACCTCCCTAACTCACCAGCAGATCTGAGGCCCGCTGGTTACCCACAACCTGGTTTAACCCAACAGTTTTACCAGGGTGCAGCTGCTGTGCATGCTGCAGCTTCTTGGAGCCACAGGTAAGAGCTGGGTGACAGGTGGACACCAAAGGTGGAAGAGTGGCCCTGAAAATGGCTCAGCAAGCCCTCACACCAGAGGTGCTAGTCCTCCCCGAACCCCCGTCACCACTCTCTCCCTTCAGGACTCAGCTCAACCACGGCCCTCTACGGGGAGCCTTCCCTGATCCTTCCGCCTGCCGCTGCGCTCCATCTGAAACGATGCTGTTTTTAACCACATTTATTTTCTTGTATTTATTCTCGTTAGGTCTATTCTGCATATCTTTACACACGTACTTGTCTTCCCCATCAGAATGTAAGCTCCTTCTCAGTTGGATTTGCTTCATTCAGTACTTGCCCAATGT